TTACAAAGTTATTATTATTATTATTACTAATAATGAAGTAATAAAATGAAGTAGGATCACACTAATCCAGCACGTTATTATTCTGAGTTGCACCACTCAAGCGGCGGCCATATTGAGTGGGGCACGTGAGATTAATAACGCGCTGGATGAGTGTGATCCTAGTTCATTTTATTACTTCATTGCTGTGCTGTATGTATATAGGCCAATGTAGTTGGATCTGTATGTGCGATTTAAAATGTTTTTTATTAATCGGAAAATTTTAGTACCCGCCCTACTATATACAGGCTTTTTTCAGCATTGGCTCTGCAATTATACAATGCAAATTGTAAAGCTAGAGATCTACCTGTCGGTTCTAAAGAAGAATGTAATATAAATATGTAGTATTGCCTATGGAACGGGCCCGTGTGCGCACGCGCACACTGCCCGTTCTGCATTGCCGTCATCGGAAGCCCGCCCCTCAGCGGGGCGGGCTTTCGATGATCGCAAGTACGATCTGCCCGTCCAAGGTGGGCAGATCGTACGAGCTTTCAAGAAGCATACGACCATCGCAAGACAAAAGTCTTGCGATGGTCGTAAAAGTGTATGGGCACCTTAAGTCTCTTATTAAACCATGCTGACCATAATTAAGAAATAAAGAAAATTAAAATATGTCCAATGGGGTCAGAGAATTGCCACTGGAACTGACTAAGCCATTTTTAAAACCTGTATATGATCTACGTTTGTGAAACACTCTGCTGGTTGTTGATACGATGCTGCTTCTCTTGTCTCATGCATGATCTCTCTTAGAACACCTGGGAACTGTGGATTTTGGAAGATTCTGGCCGAGCCGAGCTACCTGTGACCGACAGCAGCGAGGACACATTGCCTATGGGAGTTGTGCTTGATTACAGCAGCCAGCTGGAAATAGCAATTAGTATGTGTTCTTGTATAGTATCTGTCTGTCCTCCTAATTTGTTTGTTGGGTCACAGGAGAACACAACAGCAGTGTCTGTAGGAGCCTGGAGAGTTAAAGGCAAACTATAGCCTTGGCCTATATGATTTGTTCTAAAATGCTAAATATCAATGGGTACGCTTTCTTCCCACAAGATTATTTGCCCTACTTTGTTCAGTGCTGGGTTTTGTATTTACATTCTTTGGCACTGTGTATGCAGTCAGAAGGGCCACAAATGCCCTTTTACTATGCCATTTACTATGTCCCAGCCTAATTAACTTGTATTGCTGTTCCGAACAGTATTATTTCAAGTACCCAGAACTGCCTGTGCATATCTTTTAGTTCTCTTCTAGAGACCCTAAACCATGTTCACTAATGTGCAGATATTAACTGGAAAACTGGTTATTGGTAGCTCCCCTCCACTCTCTGTTGGTCGTGAATGTCACCCAAGGCATTGGCTGACTAATAGACATTAAAAAGAAGGGGCCAGCTAGTGACTTCCCAGTGGAAGTCTGTGTTTTCATATTGCAACACTGGGGTTTAAGGACTCTTGAGGTGCCTGGACTAACAACCTGACAAAAAAAAAGCCTAAAACCAAACATTAAATTATAAATGTATTAATGATATGTTAAGTCAATAGTTTTGGCTATGGTTTGGATAAAAAATAAAAAAAAGTTAGCCTAAACCTTTGCTATAGTTGTGATGCTGGCTTTTCAAATGGGCTAACGGATTGCTGAATTTAACATTATCTAGGCCCTATGGTTTGTAAGTTGTCATGAATGTCACCCTGAAAGTTTTTTTTTACCTGCTCTCTACAGATGAGGAGAAAATCTTACCTCCTTCCCCCATACTTGTGATACTTTCCACCGATGGTGTCCTCTGCCCTTTTCATGCAATCAACTTAATTCCAAATGTAAAGTCTTTAACCACACACCTGGAGGAGCTCAGCATGGAGGGGGAACGACAGCCTAAAAGTGGTAAGGTTCTGCTCTCTTTCTACCTTGGTGACTTGTTAAATAGTGGGATATTAGGTTGGCATGGCTAGGTTGAAGAGGTCAAGGCCCCTTAGTAACAGTGTATGAGGGACACATGGAGAGTCTTTCATGTTAGTAAAGGTAACACCAGGTCCCACAAGGTGCCTGGCTTGGGCAGGCATTTTTGCTTTTGAAGTTTTCAAATGTTGACGGGTTTACTTTATTCAATAAAAGGCTTCTTAAAGAAAACCTATGTTGAGAGATGTATGGGCGCTACCATTGCTATTCTCCTGAACATAACAGTTGCCAGACTGGTATGACGATCCGCTGGCTTTATATTTAGTTGGCTTTATTTAAAGGAGAACTATGAGGTGAGTGCTTTTCACTCGCCTCATAGTTCTAGCCGACCTGTAACAGGTCGGCTTAGTAGATCGGGAGGTGAGCGAACACATACCGGCGTTCGCTCACCTATCGATCCTGTCACGGCTCTCTGCCGTGACAGGGGAGGGGCTAGATTCCCCGCTCCGATCCGCCAGCGCTGACTGGCGGAACGGACGGGGGAGGGGGCGGGTACAGCTGGCTCTGCCTCTAGATAGGCAGAGCCAGCTGTTAGTCACGCAGCTGGGCAGATCCCGGCATAATTGTCGGGATTCGCTTCAGCTGCGGCGTCTCATTATACCGCGAGCAGCAGCTAGCGGTATACTGTGGCGTCTCAGTATACCGCGAGCTACAGCTCGCGGTATACTGAGCCTAGGGTGACGGGAGGACGCTAGTTTGCGTCCTCCCGTTGCCCTAAGGAGAACTATGGGGAAAAGCATTAACCCCATAATTCTCCTTTTAAGACTTTTACTTAACCAGAAGTAGATCAGAAAAGACTGGAAAAAAAGATGATTATCTGCAAAAGAAAAGGTAAATAGTTTTGAGTTTCTGAAGCACTGATGTGAAACAACCCTGTGGGTGAGCTATCTAGAATTTTCAATAATGAAGAGAAAACTAGCACACCAAACAGTAGACTCTAAAGTCCCATAGCCGCAAAAGTTTTGCTGATATGGGACTTCAGTAAATTCTGCTTTAGAATCTACGTATTGGTGTGCTGGTTTTCTCTTCATTATTCGATTTTCAGATGTAAGTCAGCATACAGACCAACAGCCGTAAGAATTGAAGTCATTCAAGCGTTAAGATACTCCATCTGTTAACCATGCCGTATTCTTTATTATTTTAGGGAACTTTTATTTGATGCACATTGCAGTGAGCTTTGATATTTGTTAATTTTATCCTTTGGTCTGAGGAAATTGGTGGTAGCCGTTGGGAAACTTTAACTGCAGGATTGTGTACTTTTGGATAAAAAAAGTTTGTGTTTTAAGTTTTTTTAATTTTTATCTCTTTGCAGCATCAAGTGTTGCTTCTCATCCTTCCCCATGCCTTGTAGCTCCACCTAGTTCACTTCCAGCCGTCAATCCAGCCTTTAGCACTCCTATATCCAACCTCGCTTCGAATGTTCTGCCAACACCCCCAGCTTTTAGTTTGCCTGTCACTGCCAGCAAACCTTCCCAGGTTTTTGGTTCTGCCACAGCAAGTTTTGCCAGTAAGCCACAGGCTACTTCACAGGCGTTTAGTGCTCCTACTGCAGGTTTTCCCAGCAGGCCTCAGGCTACTCCACAGGGATTCGTTGCTGCTGCTCAGAGTGTTCCAAGCAAGCCTCAGGCTACACCACAGGGATTCGGCGCTGCTGCTCAGAGTGTTCCCAGAAAGCCACAAGTCAGTGCTGCTTCGCTTTTTGGTGTCACGGCGGGTCCTGTTGGAAAACCCCAAGAATCTGCAACATCTTTCAGCTTTACCACAAATTCACCATCTGCTTCGATAGGAACAACCAACACTGGCTTTTCTGTGCCCGCAAGTTCCCAGGGATTTTCCTTTGCCAGTCAGGCACCTCCAGTTTTTGGAACCTCCACTTCCATACCAGACAACTCCACAAACGCCCCAGTTCAAGCAACCAGCTCCAGTTTTCCATTCTCTTCTAATGTCAAAGTGAACCTTAATGAGAAGTACGTACAAACATTTAGAAGGTTTCACACATAGAAAAACGTGTAATGTGCTCACAAGTGATTGTCAATGTGGAACTTCTGACATTTTTAAAATCTTGTATAGAGTGGGGAAGGGATAGAAAGTTTTTGAGGTTTTTATGCTTGTTTCATGTCTCAGATACAGGAGATCATCCTATTTTCCTGTCCCAGACCAGAAAGCAAGATGGTATATTCCTAATGCGAAGTGCTAAAAACCCAACGAGGGTTTGAACCATTTCCCACGACACTGAAGATCTTTGTTTACTGCAATGTCTCCAATAGCTGGATTTTACTGTACTTATTTACTGATTTTATTTTAAATGAGGTCAAATTTATCAAAGGTGGCACACATCCTGACTTCCCTGCTCTATACAAAACAAACCAGCTTTTAATTTTAATTCCCAAATGCAAACATTTGTCTGGACAATCTGTGAACAAGTGATGGCTGATTAGCATGAATGTCAGTGCTTATAATACTGAATATCTGTAAAAAAAATAAGTCAAGGCAACTGGACTTGCTGTATTTTTCTTGAAGACCACGTTTAACCATTTGATGACCAGGCGTTTAGACCCCCTTCCTGGCCAGACCATTTTTCAGTATTCAGCGCTGCGGTACTTTGACATTTATTCCATCATACAATGCGGTACTGAAATTAATTTTATACCATTTTTTGGGGACAGATAGAGCTTTCATTTGGTGGTATTTAATCACCACTGGGGGTTTTATTTTTTACTATATTTCTGGAAAATTACTGAAAATTGTGAAAAAAAGTTTTTTTTTACATTGTTATGAAACATTTATTATTACCCATTAAAATAAAAAAGACGGGGTCACGGCGGGGAAATAGACACCAAACATGTCAAGCTTAAAAATTGCACGAAATCGCAAAAAACTACCATACCCAAAATTGACCATAGGCGACGCTTTTACCGCTCATCAATTTAGTGTTCTCAGTGACTGATGGCCCGAGAATTGTTGCTCTCACTGCGACGTTCGCGGCGATATGTAACATGTGCGGCGTAATGGGCGCAATCGTCGTTTTCGCAGGTATGCGCAAGTTTGGACTTTAAAAAATTTTTTTATTTTTGTAATTCTTTTTTATGTGTAACTTAAAATTTTTTTGGGGGGAAACTAATTTTTTTCCACCTTAATTTTATTGCTATCACATAGGGGGCTAAGAAACCCCCCCTATGTGATAGGAAAATATGTGACCGGTCCTCTTTATGGAGACCCCTAATGTCACCTAGGACCCCTGAAGAAGCTGATGAAGCAGAGATCTGCTTCTCTCCAGCATCTGAAGCTGGAGAGTAAAAAAATAAAAATAGTCACTCGCACTCCATGATATTAAAGTCAATGTTGTTTATTGACTGTGATAACACACATCTCCTTAGCATCGTTTCGAGACCGTGCGGCCCCTTCCTCAGGCAGAGGAAGGGGCCGCACGGTCTCGAAACGTTGCTAAGGAGATGTGTGTTATCACAGTCAATAAACAGCATTGACTTTAATATCATGGAGTGCGAGTGACTACTTTTATTTATCTACATTGCACGGAGGCATCCGTTGTCCCCACCGCACCCACCCAGTTGTATTTGGGCTTTGTCCAGTCAGGAGTGCGATGGGACAGGAGGATTAAGTTTGAAGCTGGAGAGTGACGCAAGAATGTGGAAGTGATGTAATATACATCACTTCCGCATTCTTACAGCCGAGAGGGGACCACTGGGAGATCGTGTACCAATCTCCCTCTGATCCCCTGTCAGAGGTCAGAGAGGCACTATGCTGGTCCCGGGCTCGGCATGACAAATGGGAGGGGGGGGGGGAGGACACGGGCCGGCAGCTCATACAAACGATCCGCCGGCTCTATAGCTGCCTGTTTTAAAATTGTCATTTCCCGCTCGCTGCAAGGCCGGCCGGGAGGTAGTTAATATATAATACAGCAAGTCCAGTTGCCTTGACTTATTGTTTTACAGATATACCATGACCTGCATGAATGTGAACCTTCACAGACTTATAATACTGAATGTTCATAATCCATTCATACTCCAGTACATAGTGGTTTAGAACAGGAAAGGATGATGTATGGCAGAATAAAGGAGCCAGCAAGTAGTGTTACATAGATGCCAGTATGAGCATGGGCATCCAGGGAACATGAGGGGACATTGTTGCCTGGCAGTCTAATGAAGTTCAAAACTGCAATAGCATTCATTCTTGAGTGTCCAAGCTCTTAATATGTCGCCATTAAAGCCATTTTTTAAATATATGTTTGAACATGCTAGTGCTGAAAACCATCAATAAATGTCATTTCTTTTTTCTATTCTAGATTTAATGCAGCTGAGGCAGCATCCATGAAACCATTTCATACCCAGTCGTATCCTTCAACAACCGCACCTGCGAAGTCCACAGGGGCAGCTGTTCCGCAGAGCAGTGTTGTGCCTCCATCTCCTCAGTTGCAGTCCACGATGGCTCCAAACCGGTCCTTTCCTGATGGTAATTTACTGTTGTCTAACTCACAAGACCAAACATAGTGTAGTGGGGTGTATGGCCCTGACTTCCCTGGTCATATTTAACCACATGCTGAATTAAACCTCTGCAAGAAAAAAATTAAATATGATATGTTTCTGCAAATTTTAATATGTAATTACTATTTTCTGTATCTACAGGGAAACTGAACCCTAAACTTATCTTAAAGTGACATTAAAGTAAAAAAAAATCTCCCCCCCCACCCCCCCCATATTAATGTTAGCACTTACCTTAAATGCTGTCTCTTAATCCGATCTTCTTTCCTGATGTTTTCATCTGTCCCTCCAGCGGTGTGGCGGCTCTCCGATCCAGTGCGGACTCCTCTGTCCTTGCAGGCACTTCCGATCCCACGGTGTCTGCATGCGGGTGCACGCGTCCATAGACTTACCTTGCGTCTCTGCACGTCTCCCGGACAAGGATCCGCACTGCGCATGCGTTCGCCCCAAAATCCTGTGCGGCAGCACGAGCAGTTCTGGATTCTCGCCGTGGGAGCGTGCAGCGATAACGAGGTAAGTTTTTAAACCGCTGTTAAAGCGGGTTTTAAAAAAACAAAAACGTTTTGCCTATATCTACTGCTTGTCAGCAGTAGATATAGGCAAAAAAAATAATGGAGGCTTTAGAACCCCTTTAAATCAGTAAACCAACATTCCTTCATAAACAATCGTCCTGTTGTTTTCTCTTAGAAAATTAGATTATTTTTCCATCCTTTGTTGCTTTCTAGCACTGCTAGATTTCCTGCAGCCTCTTTGCAGCCACTTCTTGTCTACATATACCCACTCCTGTGATGGCTCTATGCCATTGCTCCATGTCAGCTTCTCCTGGTGGTAGCTACTGCAGGAACTTGCCTGTGGCAAACAAAAGAATAATGTAGACCAGCCCAGAATACCCCTCCTACTACCAGCATGCCTTAATATTTTGTTAACGTCTTAGGAGGATGGACATCTTTTTTGCAGCTCGACTTTTCTTTTTCTTGGTCGTGCATTACAGGATACAGGGAGTTCATTCTTAGACCACTAGGTTATGCAGTTACCGTCAGGTGACACTGGTAACTTCTTCAAAGCTACAGGACAGCCCTACATAACCCCTCCCACTCCAAGCTTGCTTCAGTTTTCTGCTAGTATTCTAAGGTGACCGTTGTCCTCTCTCTGATCTGATAGACATACTTTCCTTTTCAATGTTTTTACTGATTTTTTGTTTCTGCAAGCAAGTTCCCTAAGCTGCTCCAAAGCATTGTGGAGCCTCCTGCAGCTATCCAGAGCAGTAATCTCCTCCGCAGAGCCATGGCAGACCCTACCGGGACTTTGCTGGGAGGAACACGTGGGTTGGCCTGTAATGTGCCTCGCACTAGACCCTGTATTAGGCGCCCTCCTTGGCACATAATGCAGCTCGAGTGGTCCGCTGCAAGGTTTCTTTACAAATCCAGGGCCATGGTCCTTTTGGGAGCCCTGACTATGAAGACACTCCTTGAAGGATTTGCCCAACCAATGACCTAGATTACATCCAACTGCTGCGTAACCATAGTAGGACAGCAAGACCCCTCAGGTAAGCCGCTGCTCCACTCCCCAGTTGCCTAGCCGACATCATCAAACCCCCTCCCCCCAGGAGTCCCACTGAGTTTGCAGCATATGTGGAGGTGCGCTTTAAAAATCATTGTTGCCATGTCCCTGGGTCACTTACCGCTTTGACTGCTTCATGTTTCTGGGTCCGGCACCCTCTCAACTGCTGCTGTGAGTTACTGTGGGCTACACCATGACGAAGCATTGGTGTGGGGTCACTAGTGAGGGGGTACGCTTGGCAGACATTTAGAAGACAGCTCGGTTTCTACCCTCGCTGGGGATGACATCTGATTTATATCCTGTGTTTCTCCTTCTCCTCAGCTGCTAGCTTTAGGGTTCTCCTCGGTCCTCTCTTGGCCACCCTCCTTTGATGTGTCATCCAGAGAGCAGTCAACAGATGTTATGGCAGCTATTATGAGAAAATCCCTTTTTATGTTTCTAGCCACAGGGGGCAGCAAGTGGACCCATTCTCCTGCACACACAGAGACCCCCTCCAATTCCCTTTTAAAATGTGTGGCCCTCGCTGAGGAAAACAATAGGAAGAAACTCTATCCAGTTCTCTTTTGAGTCCCCTCATGGTAGAGGACCTGTCATCTGATATATTTAAAGAACACAATTGCTTTTACTTGTGGATGCGGTCTGCGGTAAGAGGCAGCTACCTCAACCCTGTCAAAGGTTCTGAATACTGAAAAATGGCCTGGATGGGAAGGGGGTTTAACACCGCGGATGTCAACTGGTTAAAATGCCTGATAAAAAATGTACCATTTACTTGCTCTTACAGCCTGGGCCTTATGGGGATTGGGATCACTAAAAGGAACCCTTGTATGTTATCCACCATGTTAACGTGGTTCTGAGGCCTACGGCCTTTTTCCTCCCTAACGTGGCCTCTGCCTTCCCCCTTATTAGGACATTGTGTTGCTGTATCTATATCCTGCACCGAAATGCCCTAAAGAAATTCCCCCTACGATGTCTGGATCTCATTCAGGCAGTCAGGGTTTACCTTTTTGCAAGTCTGACGCCCTGTTATTCCCAAGGGTCCCCGCTTAAGATAGCCAGCTTCCCGTATTCATCAGACCATCTTGCAGGCCAACTAGCTGAAAGGGAAGGCATTACTGGTCACGGTACACTACGCTAGGACTGTGAGTGCTTCTGGGGCTTTTCAGCACCAAGCTTCTGTCACCCAAATCTGTAAGGCCACATAGACACTTTTGCTAAGATCTACTAGGTCGATGCTCAGGTCTCTGCTGGTGCCACTTTTGGATGGACTCTCCTTCAGGTAGCTCTGTGACTTGGGCTTGCATCTGTGACAGTTTGGTGATTTTAGTTTTGATTCCCTGTTAGGGATTTTCATTGGGCCTGTTAGCCACTGTTTGGCTGTATTGTCTGCCCCTCTGTTGGACTGCTTTTTAACCTCCCACTGGTCTAAGCATTAACTCCCTGTGTCCCGTGATGTTTAATCAAGAAAACTGGATTTTTGTCTCATCTGTAAAATCGTTTTCTCTTCCCTCCATTGAGAATTCTGAGACTTAGGGTTATGCTGCTGCCTCAAGGAGAATTGGACGATAGGCAAAAAAAGCCGCCTACTTTATGGACATAACCACCTCCCACCTGCCAGTTTTGCTTCGTGTCCTCAGGAGAATGGATGTCTCCTCTTCTGGTTTATTATTTTAGTTTGTTTCCGTGTTGAAATTCTGCTATGAAAAAGCTATTGAATCATGCGGGATAATATTAAATCCTAAAAGTTTTTTCACCTAGCCGACAACATTGGTAGATTCATGCCTGATTTGATTAAGTCCTGGACATTTCTCCAGTTGTTAAGAAACAGGTCGCTTCTAGTCTCTGTACTGTCGATTCATCCTGCGGTGGTCCTGCCTTCCTGTTGTCATCACTTAAGGTCAGGCCAGTGTTACCTGGGGATTCCTGTTATTATGTCGGGAACAAGGCCATGGAGTCATGAGTAAAAATTTATTTACCTAATTTTTATACGGTTGGGTGCTTTCCCTCCTTTTTTTTTGTTTTTTTTGACTTGGGCTGTGTGCTTTTAGACATTTTTTTGGCTAAATGCCATTTTATGTGGAGTTTGACTAATTTTATTTACATTTCCCACGTCTCTTTTAAGAGGCCAGACTTTGATTTGATGGTGGAGTGGTTTCAGCTCTGCTTTCTTTTCTTATTTGCCCTCAATTTCATGTCACTTATTGGGAAGAACAGAGATATCCTGTTTTTTACTATTACAGAACCATTCTTTGATTAATCCACTGTCTGCAGCAGGCGGTTGTGGTACCTCATATTTTTTCCCCACACTGGTCAGGGCCGTGAGTATTATGGTGTCTGAATCTGTGTGAGGCAGAATTGTCAGAACAGACGGTCATTAGCAGAGCAAGTAAAGTCATTATTTTTTTCCTTTCCTGCTCTGTGTCTTACTACTCGCTTTATTGATAGATGAGGTGGAATGTAAATGGTTTTTCATGTATGCATAGTTTATTTTTTGGTCTGTAGATTTTGTGTTTTTCAGCATACATGTGTATGTATTCATTCATTTAACTTTTTTTAGGCCCTTCACCAGCAACCCCAGTAATGCGCCAGAAGGCGTTGAAGATCAGTTCATCTGAGGTGAAGCAAACGCATCCTCAGGTAATGTTCTGTACCCTGTGAAAGGGAAGTAAAACAAATTTCGATTTTGCTGAGGAGCTAAAAGCAATCAAAAAGCCTTCCACTAAATTCATAGGGTTTATGCTGTTTTGGCCAACAACTGCATGTACACAAATATACATTTTTGATTCCTTCTATAAAGGTTCAGTCTGCTGTCAGGACTTAAACATTGTCTCAGACTAATACTATGCTTGCAGGTTCCAAGCCCCAAACTTGGTGTTATACATGTTGCAGTTTTATTTAGCAGTGATCCCCCCAGTTTGTTTTAGCTGCCGGGAAGCAGTTTTGTAATATTCTCTTGACCGTATTACTACAGATCACAATCGGAAAATCGAACTCAAAGGGCATGTTACTTTACACCACAGACATAATCTGTAAACAGTTTGCGTTTGTCCTGTGGTTGTAGGGTTTTTCTTCCATAGCCAAAACGTAGGGTTGTACGAATGCCAGTTTTTCGGTATCGAGTACCGACATTTATATTTCGGTACTCGCTGATACCGAGTGCCGGTACTTCTGGTAGCATGGAGCCAGCTTCCCGAGCAATCGAGAAGCTGGGCAGCGTGTCATTACCCGCCATCCTGCTTCTTGATTGCCCAAGAAGCCGGCTCCATGCTGTTGGTCGGCTCCATGTTGATTGGCTGGTAAGTCAGCTTCCCAGCCAATCAGCATTGTGCTAGCCATACAGCATGGAGCCGGCTTCCTGGCCAATCAGGAAGCCGTGCTGCAGATAATGACTCTCGCCTTGGCTTCCTGTTTGGACGGAAAGCCAGCCCTGTGTTCTGCCGCGGCACTGCCGGTCAGAGGAAATCTCCCTCTGACCAAAGGTTCCGGGATTGGGTGTACGTATCGGAGCATTGGGGCGAGTACGAGTACTTGACCAAATATTCGGTATTGGCACCGATGCTAGTATCGGTGCATCCCTACCAAAAAGACAATAATATGTTTATTGGCTTCCACCTGAAATTGACCTTGAAACGTGTTTTTTGTTATAAGATTTTTTTGACTTTAAAGAGCTGCAGAGTATGCTGGTGCTTTATAAATTAATACATATTTTATATTTTGCTGCAGCCCCAAGCTACGGACCCCATTCGAAATGCAATACAAGAAGAGGTATGTGGTTTTAAAATGTGGATTCATTCACTGTTGCAGAGGTGTATGTAGACTGACCCACAAGGCAAAGTATAATGTGCATGTCACAGTAACTCACAGCAACAGACAGAAATAATGGCAAATTCTCACTGCCCTTCTATTGAATTGAAGCCACACTGGTCTACTTGTGGTCTATGTAGGATGTTTATAAATACAGTTTAACAAGTGTAGCAATTTATTTTAACTAAAATGGGCTATATAGTCTGCACTGCCTTCATCTGTACATTCAGCAAAGGAATAGCTAATCCAGAAAACGGTTTAATGCATTTGATAATAAAGGATTGCTTTACATTTGAAGGGGGGAAATTGCTGGGAAGTAGGGATTTTTGGCAAGAGACGTGCAAAGTCTATTTTGCCAAAAAATCTTCCTCTCTCTCACCCGGTTATTTTCTGTGTATACTTTACGGTCCATATGCTGTACAGTGTACACACTCAGCCCATTCATGGTATCTCTAATGCGTCATGAATCAGCTGGCTGACATGCAGGGTGTAAGGCTGGGCACACACCTTACAACCATAAACGTACGATCTGCCTATGTTGCATAGGCAGATCGTACTTGCGATGACCGCAAGCCACACCCCCTGAGGGGTGGGCTTCCGATGACCGCAATACCGAACGGGCAGTGTGCGCTTGCGCACACCGGCCCGTACGGCTGTTATCGTACGGACATGCCACAAACCCGCCGAACATCGTACGATGCTCGGCGGGTTTTCAAACATGTCCGTAAGTTTAAAGTCGTGTGACCTTACAGTAGTAGAGGTCGCACGGCTTCCACACACCTTACGATCATCGTACGATCGCGGGATTTCCCGCGATTATCGTACGATAATCGTAAGGTGTGTGGGGACCCTAACTCTTGTGTGTGGGGACCCTAACTCAAGAGTTGCATTAGCAGTAGTCACCCAGAGGCCAAAGTCCTCTTCCGACAAACCGAAAGCATCAGCGGTGGAGATGGCAGCAAGGGACAGTGCTGAGGACTGAAGATTGAGCCGACAGTGCTGGGGAAGTGTGCCCTAATGTGCAAGTATGTGGTTTACTTCACTTTAAAATAATTATTTTCTGGGTAAATCATGGGCAGGGAGCTATTGTGCTTAACTTCCTGGTGCTCCGCCCATTTTAAGAATATCTGGCATAAAAGGAAGCATTTTTTTTAAAAACATGTATGTTTCTGTAGAACCAATGAGTTAGGTGTTCAAAAGTAAAGTGTGCGAAATCCCTCCTTGCAAACACATTTTATTATGGCTCCCAATATTTTGTTGTTGATTCCCAAGTGTTCAACTAAGGATTGAATAAAAATTGCTTTAAAAAAATCAGATTCAACTCTGACACAGACCAGAATAATTGGAATTGTATATTCTTAACTAATTAGATAATATAACATTTGCCTACCTGTTAGAGCCTTATGAGAAATTTCCCTCTGGGCTCAGCCTTGTTGGATAGTTATATGTACGGTCTAGGCATGAACCCTGAATATACCCTCCGCTCTCATACAGCTTTCCACAAAAATGAGCGTTAAAGAAAAATTTCAGGTACACAGCTAAATACAAAGATGAAATCCATAGAAATTAATGTTTTATCTGTTGCACGCTGTCAATTTCTTTAATTCATACACATCTGCTACATTGCTTAGTCAGACACTTTGCTTTAGTTCCTGGTTCAGCTTTACAGCTACCATGGGGCATCTATCTGCTGAGTTTACAAAAGTGGTGATGCTGATTTATTTTTCTGATGAACAGGCTGCAGGCAGAAAGCAGACACAGATAGCTGCAAATCTAAACCAAAGGTATCACTTGCTTTTGCAATACAAATCTTTGTGTCGGTAATCCCATGCCCAGGTTTCTGTAGATAGGTGCGTTCAGATTACACTATTTCCAAAAGTATTGGGACACCCCTCCAAATCATTGGATTCAGGTGTTCCAATCACCTCCATGGCCACAGGTGTATGAAATCAAGCACCTAGGCATGCGGACGCTTCTACAAACATTTGTGAAAGAATGGGTCGCTGTCAGGAGCTCAGTGAATTCAAGTGTGGTACCGTGATAGGTTGCCATCCGTGGAATTTCCTTGCTATTAAATATTCCACGGTCAACTGTTAAGAGTGGTATTATAACAAAGTGGAAGCAACTGGGAACAACAGCAACTCAGCCACAAAGTAGTAGGCCACGTAAAATGACAGAGCCGGGTCAGCACATGCTGAAGCGCACAGTGCGCAGAATTCGCCAACTGTCTGCAGAGTCAATAGCTACAGACCCCCAAACTTCATGTGGCCTTCAGATTGGCACAACAACAGTGCGTAGAGAGCTTCATAGAATGGGTTTCCATGGCCGAGCAGCTTCATCCAAGCCTTATATCACCAAGTGGAGACGCGTTCTCTGGAGTGACCAATCACGCTTCTCTGTCTGGCAATCCGATGGACGTGTCTGGGTTTGGCGGTTGCCAGGAGAACGGTACTTGCCTGACTGTATTGTGCCAAGTGTAAAGTTTGGTGGAGGGGGGCTTATGGTGTGGGGTTGTTTTTCAGGGGTTGGACTTGGCCCCTTATTTCCAGTGAAGGGAACTCTTAAGGCCTCAGCATACCAAGACATTTTGGACAATTTCATGGTCCCAACTTTGTGGGAACAGTTTGGGGATGGCCCCTTCCTGTTCCAACATGACTGCGCACCAGTGCACAAAGCAAGGTCCATAAAGACATGGATGAGCGAGTTTGGGGTGGAGGAATCTGACTGGCCTGCACAGAGTCCTGATCTCAACCCGATAGAGCACCTTTGAGCACCTTTGGGATGAATTAGCGTGGAGACTGTGAGCCCGGCCTTCTCATCCAACATCAGTACCTGACCTCGCAAATGCGCTTCTTTTACAGGTGCATTTGACTTTTGGTTGGCCTCCTCCTAAGCTGTTTCAAATTGTTTTTGCATCCTCCTAAGCTGTTTCAAATTGTTTTTGCATTACCATTGACTTGTATGGGGAGAAAAATAATTCTGATGTGAACAGAAGCCTGTGTACGAAGGCACTATATCTGTATTTATCGGTTTGCCTGAGGTACCACTTCAAATTAAAGGAGAACTATGGGGTATACTGAGACCGCCGCAGGCGGGACGGATCCCTACATTACTGTCGAGATCCACCCAGCTGCCTGATTGACAGCTGGCTCTGCCTACCTAGAGGCAGAGCCAGCTGTTCCCGCCCCTTCCGTTCCGCCAGTCAGTGCTGGAGGTTCGGAATGACGGTATGTGTGCTCTCACTTCCCGATCTATTGAGCCGGCGTGTCACAGTTTTCATTGTCACACGTCGGCTCGAACTATGAGGTTGAGTGAAAATCACTCACCTCATAGTTCTCCTTTTAAGGGTGCCAATGTTTTCCACTGCTGATAATGCAGCAACAGATATGTCAATTTAAAAATAAAAAGCAAATCACATAATGCCTCTTTTAGCTACAGCTTTGTGATAAATATTTTGTTGCCCAGATTACTCACTTTCAGAAAGAGTTGGATGATTTAAAAGCTCGGACAGCGAAGGCCCGTTTCACTGTGGGGACTGATGAGGAGATGAGACGGTTAAAGACTGAGTCCAATGATCATGAGTCCTTTATGCGGGAAATCAAAGCTGCCACAGAGGTAAGTACATGGTATAAGTGTTGTGTTCCATGGATGGGCATATCCCAGTAACCAGGTAGACGATAACCTGTCTTTGAGCAGCAAATGTAGAGTGTGGTAGCAGAAACACAAGGAAAATCTTAAGGAACTTAATTAATTTAATTTGTCAAGCGGTACAGTCCAACATAATCTTTTCCTAACTAGCATTCATAAAGCCGGATGACATTTTATAGCTTTATATATGGTATCACTTGCCTGGCTTTTATGCTCTCAGCCAGCTGAGTTCTCTTAATCTCTTCCAAACATCATTCATATGAGATGAGGTACTAAAAGGGATGTGACTACATGTAAACCATCTGTAAGCTGTTATACACACTTCTAGCAATCTTTGCAGAAATGGATTCTTAATAGCGTTGAGATGAAGAGTAGAGTGTAGGGATGCACCGATACCGTTTTCCGGCATCAAATACAAGTTACGATATTTTTTTCGGTACTTGCCAATACAAATATCGGCATCCCGTTGGCCTGCCTTATTGCCTGGGAAGCCAGTGTTCTATCGAAAGATCAAATAGGAGTCACTTTCCCAGGCAGCCTAGCTTCCTGACCAATCAGGAAGCCTGACGGCACATCATGACCCGCCTCCTGGCTTCCTGATTGGCTAGGAAGCTGGCTTTACTTGTTGCTAGGCAGCCTGGCTTCCTGATCAGGAAGCCGGGCGGTGTGTCATGACATGCCAACCAGCTTCCTGATTGGTCAGGCTGCTAGCAATAAGTGAAGCCCGGCTTCCTAGCCATTCAGGAAGCCGGGATGCGGGTCATGACGTTGCACCCGGCTTCCTGATTGGTCAGGAAGCCAGGCTGACTAGCAAAAAGTGAAGCCAGCTTATTAGCCAATTAGGAAACTGGAAGACAGATCATGACCCGCCGCCTGGCTTCCTGATTGGCCGGGATACCGCCTCCATGCTCCCTCGCAGCACTGCCAGTCAGAGGGAATCTCCCTCTGACTGGAAGTTCCAGTATCAGAGCATTTAGGAGAGTACAAGTACTTGCCCAAATGCTCTCTATCGGCACCTGTGCATTACTAGTAGCATGTGCTGAGTGTATTGGAGTGCCTGGTGGGGGGTGTTCTCTATATACAGGCTGCCCCATTCTGTACACTGTGCAGTACATTATATACTCCACATCACTTTACTCTGAACCCTGCGCTCTATATTATATACATCATACTGCTAATGATCACAGTATTGTCTGCATTCCACCTATTTAATAAGCACACGTGTAATTTACATGGTATAAATATGTATTTCTAAGTTACACACACATGCTACAACTAAAACCAAAGAAAATGTAAGGTTCATAGAATCCATTTAATGCATGTAGTTGGTTGTTTTGTGTTAAAAACTATCTTTACACATGTGTTTTATTTTGATTAGTCTCTACATAATGATAATGGCTGCCTACAAACCACCCTGCGTGATGCATTTACAACCGTACAGGATGCTAAAGAACTAAATGAAAAAAAAAAGAATCCAGTCTACCGCCGTCTTCTGCAGCAAAGACCTCTAGACCCCAAGAGTGAGGCTCAGATGCAGGTAATACCGGTGACTAGTTCTTCTTCTCTGCAGTACAGATAATGTAACTGAACAGTGATGTCTCTCACCAGTCTTCTCTTCTCATGACCCAGTCTCCTTCTTTCTTTGTATAGGAGATACACAGACTCAATCAGTACGTGGAAAATGCTATTCAGGATGTTAATAATGTCCTTGATTATCGGTGGGATCAATATTTGTACAATAAGAAAAACCAGAGGTGTGTATTTTTGCAGATGCATCTTAAAGGGCATTCATAGCCTTTTTTTTTTGTTTTTAACAAGAGCCAGTCACAATGGATCATGTGCAGGAATTTCAACTTATTTTGAATATGTACAGTATTCTTTAAATTAGGGATATACCGATACTAGTATCGGTGCAGATGCAGAGTATTTGGGTACTTGCACTCGCCCAAATGCTCTGATGCCTAGCCCGATACTTGTGACAAGCGAGCAGGAAGGCATGAAGCGTGTAATGATGCGCTGCCCGGCTTTTTGATTGGTCGGAAGCTGGCCAATCAGGAAGTCGGGCGCCGTGTAATGACACAATGCCCAGCTTTCTGATTGGTCGGGAAGCCGGCTTCATGCTCTCTCGTCGCCTCATGACAAGGAAGCATGGAGCCGGTTTCCCGGTCAATCAGGAAGCCGGGCATCGCGTCATTACACAGCGCCCAGCTTCCTGATTACCGTATTTGCCGGGTATTCAAAAAGTGGGGGGTCGTCTTATACGCCGGCAAATATGGTAGCTAATCGGGAAGCCGGGTGGCGAGACTTTACACGCTGTCCGGTTTCCTGAATGGGACTTCCGGTATTTGGTATCTGCGAGCACCGAAAAAAAAATATCCATGCTAGATACCGAAATACAAGTGTCGGTGCATCCCTACTTAAAATATAATTGTGCTAGCTTGCTCATGAAGTATTTATTTTTACCCACTTGTGTAGCTGTATTCACTCTGAGGGCTTTTTTTTTTTGTATGCGGACAGTCGGACAAACAGCCCTCTTAAGGTCTTACAGCTACTGTACTGACATTATGAACACATTACAGTTGTGTTCTAGGTTTTAAATAACAGAGCCATGATGTTTACATTATTTTAAACTATGCAGCTCTGTGACGTAAAGTGACACTAAACTCGGGAGATAAATATAAAAAATACATTCAAGTATTTTAACTATTAACAATAATGTATCTTATTTGTGTATTTATTCATCTCTGAATTGGTGCTGATACTGTTCTTCTGGAGGGTGGCTACTTTTGCTCCCCATGGTCCCTGTGTGTGTTGTAAAGGAGGCACCGCTCCAAACTCGCTCCCAGGATGGACTACAATCTCAATACAAGTTAGCAAAATAAACATGAGACTGTAGTCCATCACAGGAGTGAGCTTGGAGCGGTGGCTACTTTACAACACACACAGGGACCATGTGGAACAAAAGAAGTCACCCTCCAGAAGGAAGGACAGTGTCAGCACCAATTCAGAGGTGATTTGAGGATTTACAGCTGAGTGATACAAAAATAATGTCTAATATTAATAGTTCGCTCACTTCGCTAAGACACACTGCCCCCCCCCCAAAGGCGGTCAAAAATGTCTGCATCTTATGGAGCGAATCCCTATTGCAGATTCAGCGCCGGGCGAGTAGTTTTTTTGTAGCTGTGACCACGGCATAGGAGCTCATCATAGAGCCCCTAGAGCAGACGAAGAACGCCCGTTCTTCGTCTGCTCTGTGTGATCACTGAGACCGTGGCGCTGTAATCACAGCGTCACCTGTCTCAGCTGTCACTAACTACAGCTGTCGCAGAACCCTACCCTCCCTGGTCAGGTGCGCCTTATAGAGCGCGAAATACGGTAACTTCTGAGTTTAGTGTCACTTTAATACTGTTATGTAGTGTGTGTTTTCTGAACTTGTCTTTGATATCATTGTCATTCAGTTCTTTACCAGTGATGCATACCTGTTTTTATAATTTTTTTTATGTTTGTTTTTTTTTTTGAGCTAGAAATGTTTAGGTTGGAATATTTTACACGGGCATTGCTGTTCCACAGCGAGAGACTCTTTTTAACACGCTGGCTAGTCATCAAGAGATCATCAACCAGCAAAGACGGCGTCTCAGCCAGCTGGTATCCAATTTGCACGAGCTTGGACTGTACAATCAGACCTCTCAGTGGAGTGTACCCATAGAGACTGGTCAGAGGTATGTTCATTGCCATATATTTTTAAACACATCAATGTGTTCAACAATAAGTAGCCTAACGTATAGATCAGGGGTAGCCAAACTCTGGCCCTCCAGCTGTGGTGGAACTACAAATCCCATGAGGCATTGCAAGATTCTCACAGCCACAGACATAACTCCCGGAGAGAGATGCATTATGGGATTTCTAGTTTCACCACAGCTGCAGGGCCGGAGTTTGGCTACCTCTGGTATAGATGAAAGGTTTTTGAAACATGGCACTTAAAATGTGGTCTAATGATCCTTTTAGTTACAAAAAAAGACAAACACAAAGCCCTTATTAAGCACAGAGTTCAAACATAGACCATGCCTGAGAAAGCTCTATATTTTTATACCATAATTTTCAACATAATTATATATTATAATAGTAGATAGATAGATAGATAGATAGATAGATAGATAGATAGATAGATAGAGGGGTGGGGTGGAGGTGCTTGGCCAGTACAGACTGTGATTAGACACTCCCGGATGAACAGAAGGCTATGACTTGCAAGGACGGAGAAGGCTGTGCTATGGAATTGACTCATCCTGTAGTCAAATTTGCTAGCAAGTTCAAAGTTGCATTGCAAGTCACGAAAAGATTGTTTATGGGTAGGAAAAAAACCCACTACAAGTACACATTTAAGCCACTTAATTTTTTGTGCCTTTTTTCTGCCATTTGTTAAGGTGGTCAAATGGGTCGCCTCAAGAAGTGGTAGAACTTTATTTCAGTAGCTGTTGGTCACACTTTGTAGAGGGGTTAGAATACATTTTAGACTGTCCCTCTTTGCAAAGGTGTTTCAGTTAATTGATATTTCTATGATTCTTTGTAGGAACAGCTTTCTTTAGGCGACAGCTTCTGTGATGAGGTCTTTTTCAACGTTACACATTTTGTTTAACATGGACCTATGCTTTTGCCAACACAGGTCAAAGCAGTAGGTTCGCTTCCGTCTTCCTAGATTCCTACCTTCTCTTTGTTGCGCTGTGGCTCCATTCACCTGTCAGGAATAAAGAGAAATAGCTGACACTTTTGGGTATAGTAAAGCACTTGACCTCCTCATCATTCTCCCAGGGTGCAATGCAGTGTGTCTGTTATGACACCATTCCACACAAAGCTTACACAGGACTTGGTTGAGAAATGGAGTTTGCGGGTAAGGTTTATATCAATGGGTGGAGTTCTTTTAAGAGAACCTGTCTCTTTAGGTGTCAGGACCACTATGAGACGTTCTAGGCACAAATACTGGTGACCAGACTTTTGCCCTCTGCCTGCCTTTTTTTTAGCTGAGTTTTCACATTCCAGTTTAGCAGGCCCCCTGATGTTTTTTGGTTTAAAAAGCCACTGAATGTTTTGTATTCATGATTTGCAATAAACACCTTTTTTATATATTCAATTTTAGACAATTTGAAGAAGAGCTAAAAAACCTGCAAATTGCAATGTCCAAGACTGCTTTGGACTTAAAGCCTCCGCCCTCACCTAAAGTTCAGCGTAAGTACCAAATTTCACAGACTGACTCTTCTCATTTAGCCTTGTAGACGCCTGAAAGACATTGGCTGAATCGTATTTAGTTTAAGGGGTATGGGAAGAAGACACTATGGACCTGTGCTTGTTTACAGGCTCATCTTTGTAGAAGGGCAACATAGGCTGCGGCCTAGGATTACAGAATTTGTTAGGCCCCTTTCACACAGATTACCTCCGGTCCGTCGAAACGGATCAATGAACAGTCTGTTTTACTGGACCGAGCTGCGGCTAACCGAGTGTAAAAGGACAGCTTGTCCGTTTAAACCCGGCTGCCCGTAGACTTGCATAGAGCGTCCGATTCGGTCCGGCTGAAAAACTGACAGGCGGACCTGATCGGACGGCTGGTCTGAAAGGGGCCTTAGACTTTTTGCTTCATTATACGTAAGAATTTTAACACCCTGCAAAATCCATTGCACTATTTTGTACACATGCCAGTAAAACTAAAATATTTTCCTTTTAGTTATCATTTTTATGCTGTTATTTATAACAGATTATATGAACTGAAAAAAACAATCCTGGTTGGAGGAAAACATGAAAGCTGCTGTTGCCTAGTTTTCATGCTGATCCTCTGGCTTCAGTCATTTGAATCACTGCAAGTATGCAGATCAGCACTTCTGACTTTATTCAGACTTACCTGATCTGCAGTGGTCAGCAATGGCCCGTGGGGTC